ATTATATATATTATAATAATAATATTATTATTATATATTATAATTTTTTTTTTAATCTAATATTCTATTTATTGAATATTTTATAAAATTTGTGAAATTTTAGTTTTAAAAAATCATTTATAGAATAGCGGAGAAATTAGCTGGTATTTAATATTTCAGTATTTATCAAAGAAATCAATAATATATAATTATAAAATCAATAAATTTCAATTATATTTATTAGTTTAAAAAAAAATTGAAAAAAATATTAAATATTTAGTTTTTAATATAAATTAATTATTATTATATTTAAAACATTAAAATAAAATTCTTAAAATCAATTTTATAACGACATTTAAAATTACATGAAATTATTTGAAATCGTGAAATTATATGAATTTTGAAATCATTTAGACTCTTCTCCTATGAGTAGCTGAATTAATAATCTATTTATAATTTAAGATAGAGTTTTTTTTTTCTTTCATACATTATCTTACAAAGAAATTTTCTTAATCTTAATTTTACTAAAAATTATAATTTTAGTAAAAGATTTTGTGTATGTATATAATTTAATATATAATTTACATATACAATAGACTTCGTTTCAAATTTTTTTTTTAATTTATAATCTTTTCATTATTAATTTTGACTATCTTCTTATGATTCAAATATAAGACAATTTCTAATGGAAATATATTATATAATATAATATATATATTATATTATATTATATTATTTATATATAATTTATATTATATATAAATATATTATATAATTTATATATATATATATAATATATAAATATATTATATAAATTCGATAAAGTAAAAACGTGTTGATAATATAAAATTAGTCAAGCTTCTGTAATTTGTAACTTTTGTATAATAATTTTAATTTTAATATCTCTTGAAATGAATATAAAAGTAACAACTATTAGAATTCAATTTAACATAGAATTTTTGAAATTTTAAATTTAATTTTGATTATAGCGTATAATTGAGGAAATGATAACCTGTATCAAAGAAGCACAGCAATATGAAAGGAAAATTTTCTGCAAATATATCGAGAATTGCAACATATTTTACGGAAGTTCTTTAACAGTCACATATGTGGTTGTAATTATTTACATAATGGGACCTATAGTCCTACCAGCACCTTTTCCAGTAGATACTGAATATCCGTTTCATATTAATTCCACGATAAGAAAGATTATCATATATTTGCAACAATCTTTACTTATTTTTCAATGCGCTGGACATTTATGCATAAGCATATTTTGTGCACTTTTGCTTTGGTTCACGGCCGCGAGATTCGAATGTTTGATCCTGGAATTGCAAAAAATCACAAATATTGGTATGCTGATTATTTGCATAAAAAAACAATTGCATTTAAGGAGGTAAAAATGACACATGTTCTAGATTTAATTTATGCATCAGATGAAATAGGTAGAAAATTTTTTTCTACCTTCTTCATCCGAATACTCTATTTCCTTTGCAATTAATTCTCTTTTTCTTTTCTTTAGATACGCAACAAACGTGGTGAATAGTTTTCGCTTTATGATAGTTTATGCCATCGGTGTAAGTACATTTGCTCTGACTCTATATGGTATTATAATGATAGTGGTAAGTAAAATTTTTTGTTTCGTATGTTTGTCTAATATGACATTTATAATATAATATATATATTATAATATAATATAATTTATTACGCAATTTACAGAAGGCACCATTAATTATGAAAATAGAATCTGTAACTTTGAGTTTTGTTTTACTCCTACAAATTTATATATACGCATGGCCTGCCGATCATATGAAGGATATGGTAATTTATGTTTTATTATTTTTATTTATAAATATAGTAAATTAGTTATATTTATGATTATATATAAAAATAATATATGTTGTATATTATTTGAAGTACGTTGAATCATTCATATTTCTTAGAGTATAAACGTTTCAAAAAGTGTATACAACATAATATGGTATAAACAGACATTGAGAATGCAAAAAGATCTGTTAAATGTATTGATATATCAACGACCAATAATCTTTTCCGTTGATTGTATATTGCCAGAACTTTCATTACGTTATTATTGCTCGGTAAGTCGAATTCAGATATCGTTTATGAATTAAGAATAATGAATTAAGAATATAATTAACAGAATAATAATATTTTAGTACGTATCCAATATTTTCTCTATCTTCACAGCTGTACGTGTCATCATAGAAGATGATCAATTAGAAATTTAATATTGTTTTATTAAGTAATTGTTAAAATATTTCAATTAATCATTTTTGTGCAAACATTAATTTAAGTATTTAATTAATAATTGTGCAAACCATTTATTAATCTATATTTTTTATTAAATGTTAATTAGCAATTGATATTTTTAATTGATAATTAGCAACTAATTTTAAATCTAAATCAAATTTTTATAATTGATTCAATCTCAATAATTGCTCAATCGATAAATCAATCGATAAATCATATTAAAAATTATACAAATATATAAACATTAAATATAACATTAATATTGTTTCTGCTAATCATAATTTTCATTATGATTTATTAATTCATTAATTCATAAGAAAGTAAATTTTTCGATTGGTTTACCTGTCATATTTTAGTTGCTTATCATGATGATGTGTTAATAATAATAAATAACAGATAAAAAATTGTCGTATGCTAATGTACATAATGTCACGAATAAATATAAGTGAAATTCAATATAGTACTAGCAAATTATTATTATTATTTTTTTATTATTATTTTGCAAATTATTATTGCAAAATATCTCGAAAACTAACCAATGATTATATGTACAAAAAAAAATTGTTCAAAATCTTTTCCTCTATAACATATTTAAAAATCTATAAAAATATTATCGATAAATTGATCAGAATTTAATTTTCCATAAATATCCACAATTTAGTGATTTGTTGCATCTTATTGAAAATATCAAAAACCAAAGTTTGATTCGGATTTGAAATAAAAAAAAATATAATGCAATTAATTAATATATCCTTGTCATTGTCACATTTTTCACATCATGAACCAATTTTTAATTCGACAAATCTAATTTTATTTTTTTTTATTATACATTCTCTACACATAGATATTTTTACACATATTTAGTAGATAGATACTGACAATAGATTTCTAAACGTTAAAGAAAGCTTTTAATTTTTTGTTGTACTTTACCTATCTAGTGAATATCACGGAAGCCCTTTTAATAACTAAACATATAATTATTTAACTAGAGAACGTTTTTACACTATTATATATTTGTGAATACTACTCTTGGTGCTTGATAACTATCTTATTCATTCTTCTACCATCGTAACCGTAATCAATATATATAACCTCTCAATATATATATAATGCAACTAATAATTATATATTATCATTTAGTTATCTAGTAACAAGAAAATTACTGATCGATACATTGTCATTAACTACATTCTATATGATTTATAAAATTCCTTTTATTTAAAAGGCAATTTTATACGAATAAAAACATCTGCAAATATTTAGTTGCTTTCAAATCAATCTAAGTAACAATCTAAATGGTCGATAGCTTTCACATTTTGTTTTAGTATCTTGTTATACTATTAAATATTATACGATTTATAAGTCGAAGAGTTTTTTGATATTATGTTAAAACAATTGACACCTGAGAAAACTATCCATATTACTTGGCTCAGCGTAGCTATAACTTTTTGTTGGCCACTTCCTGCCAGTAGTACCAAAATTCAAGTGTTCATGTTCAAAACTCTACAAATAATTAGTATTATTAATGCCTTTATATTGCTTCTGCCGTTGCTATATTCGGTCTATCTACATTACGATGATATTGTCGTTGTCTTTAAATGTATCGCTTTGTCTGTAGGTTTGTCTCAAATGATTATTCAAACTATTATATGCTTCGTTAAATACGACACTCTGCAAGTAAGTTTCTACATTATCTTATTTTTGGAAAATATTTTCATACTAAAATTATTAATAATTTTATATCATTCTTATTTTTTTTTTCTCCCGTTATTTTGATACTGCTAATTTTAAAATATTGATAGAAATTTCTTATATTTTCATTGAATTATACTTATAACACTTTTTAACTGTATCTAAAATAAAACTATATCTAAAATATAATATAAAACTGTATCTAAACTGTATCTAAAATATAATATAAAATCGATATAAAAGATCAAAAGCAAAATCAGTGAAATTACGAAAGCAATTTTAATTCTATTTACTAAAATCTTTCAAACACTTATTATTTAATTTTGAATAAAATGTTAATTAAAATGTTAATTAGTACAATTAATATATCAATATTAAATTTTTTTTCACGGAATCAGCTTTATATTTAGAATCACACGAAGTTATTTGAAATCTTAATATCGCATAAATTTTAAAATCATTTAAATAATTTTCCAATAATTGTTAATATGAACTCTCATTGTAAATATTTATACTTCTCTTTATTATATTTCTTTTACAAAGAAATTCACTTAGGCTCAACATTATAATTTTATAAAACTAAAATTATAATTTTATAAAATTTTATAATTTTAATTTTATAAAAAATTGTACATATGTATATATAATGGAGTTAACTTTTTTGGCATTACTTTAACTTTTTTTAATTCATAATAAATCCATTTTAAAATTTTAATATCTTTTTATGTTTCAAAATATTCGATTATTATTATACAATTATTATTATACAAATTATTATACAATTTATATTAATTATTATTATTTATTAATTATTATACAAAATATTCGATTATATATTATACAATTTCAAATGGGAATATGTACATATATATATTATAAGTTCGATAGACTTAATTAAAAGCATTGATAATACAATTGAGTTCATGTAAATTATATGTATTTAACTATATATTGTACGAAAACTTTTCTATTATCTAATTATAATGTTTTTAAAAAATGAGTATCAAAACAATTAACAAAGTTTGATATAAACGGAAATTCTTAAAAATTTAATTTTAAATTACAGCGTGTAATCGAAGAAATGATAACATATGTGAAAGAAGCCCAACAGTATGAAAAGAAAATTTTCCATAAGTATATCAAGAAATGCCACACATTTTATGGATGTTCTATAGTATGTATGTATCTGACTGGAGTTGCTTTCATAATAGGACCTGCATTCTCGCCGGCTTCTTTCCCAGCAGATGCAGAATATCCGTTTCAAATTAATTATAAATCAGTAAAAGTTATCATATATTTGCAACAGACTTTGGTTGGTTTTCAATGCACTGCACACATATGTTTAAGTGTATTTGGCGCGCTTTTACTTTGGTTCACGGCCGCGAGATTTGAATGTCTGGCCGTGGAATTGAAAAAAATCACTAATATTGGTATGCTGATTATTTGCGTTAAAAAACAGTTGCATGTAAGGAGGTAAAAATGACATGGTAATAGATTCCAGATTCAATTTAAATATTTATATATCGAATGTTTGGATGTTTGGAAAAAAAGTTTTATGGATAATTTAAAAAGCCAAAATAGAATGGAAATCAAAACTAATTTTTGAGACTTTGCTTTTCATTTGTTTAAAATTCAAAATCTTATACAAATGAAAATGAGATTATTATTATATTTATATTCAGATTTGACATAAATAAAATAATAAATAAAATATATAAATAATAATAAAATAAATGGTTATTTTCTATTTCTTGAAGATGTTCGATTTTCCATTTCTATTCCTTTTTTAAATATTGAGCCATTTTTAATTATTAGTAACTTAAGAAGAAAACTTTATAAATTTTTTTTTATATTTTATTTTTTTTTTTACTTTGGCTTCTAAAATTAACTTTTAAGTTTTTTAATTGCATTAACCCATTGTATTTTTATTGTAATTAATTTTCTCTTATTTTTTATTTTAGATATGCAAAAAGAGTAGTAATTGGTTTTCGCTTTATAATATTTTGTGCCATAGGAGTAAGTACATTTGCTCTGACTTTAGGTGGAATTATAATAATAAAGGTAAGTAAAGTTCTGTTTTATATATATAATATTATATAATATATATAATAAAATTAATGTATATCACAAACAGAAGGCACCATTTATTGTAAAAGTACAATTCATAACTTTGATTTTGACTCTACTCACAGAAATTTATATGTATACGTGGCCTGCTGATCACATGAAAGATATGGTGAATTATATTTTATATAAATGTATAATTATAAAAATATACATGTTATGTATTTTCCAAAATATAACTAAATCATCCATATTTCTTAGAGTATAAATGTTTCACAAAGTGTATATAATATAACATGGTATAAACAAACATTGAGAATGCAGAAGAATATATTAAATGTATTAATGTATCAACAACCAATAATTCTTTCTATTAATTGTATATTGCCAGAACTTACATTACATTATTATTGCTCGGTAAGACAAATTAAAATACCAATTATGACATATGAATAAGAACACAAAAGTAACAAAATAATAATATTTTAGTATCTATCCAATGCTTTCTCTATCTTCACGGCTATACGTGTCATCATAGAAGATGATCCATCATAAATTTAACATTTTTCTATTATATAATTGTTAAAATACTTAACGAGATTTTTATGCAAATAATATATTTAAATATTTATTTAATAATTGATAGTTATTTTCATTATGAAATAAATGTTTGACTCGGATTGCAAATCTATTATGAATCTATTTTTTTATTAAATAACAATTATTATTTTTAATTAATAATTAATTTAATAAATCAATTAAAAAATTTATAATTAATTCAATTAATAAATTATATTAAAATCTAACACTCCATTGATAATGTTAAGAATTGGAATTCGATTCCTGTTAATTCTAAAAAAAAAATTAAAATAGGCTTATTTTGCCAATGCAGTCATTGTATCAATCATAATATGCAAATTGATCTTTCCATGTATATCAAAATCAAAAAAATGAGATTCTTCTTTTAATTCAAAATTTGATTCTTGATTCTAGATTATTTCTGTCTTTTTTCTTTATACATGATGCACTGTAAAACAAAAATGACATCTGGTGAAACTGGGAATGTCTCGATTTTAATAAATCTTAATAATAGATCTTAATATTATTAAATGACAGAAACAAAGAGTTGAATTATCGCATAATTTTTACTATATATTATCGCTATATTTATTATTCCATATTATTATATTATATTATTATATTTTATCATTATTGAACTTATTGTATCAATAAAATAATAATTTTTAATAATTACTATAATATTATATAATATTAATTTAAGTTAAAATATTAATAATTTATATACGAAACAAATAAGAATTTGGGTTTTATCGTTCACTTTTTTTCAGAATTATATGAAACAAGTTCAATTTTTGATATTTCCTTCGAACAATTGAAAAATAAAAAGTTAATTACAATGGTTTTGTCATTGTCATTTTGTTCACATTGCGAAATCATGAAATAAAATTTTTAAAATTATCAATTTAATTAAATTGATTAAATTTTCAATTCATCAAAACAACAATTTTACAAAATATCTCGTACGTTATAATTTTGCGATTATTCTTTTTTATTGCATATTCTTTATAATATATATGTAGAGACACCGGATATGGGATTCTAAATCCTAAGGAAAATTTATTCCATAATTACAATTTCTTGTATAGTTTACCTTATCAATAGATGAACTATTACAGCGATTAAATATGTAGGTAACGTTAGAATGCTAGACTAGAGAACGTTTTACAATATTATACATTTGTGAATATAACTCTTGGTAAGTACCCTATTCGTTTTTCTAGTAACAAATCGTGCTAATATATATAATGCATCTAATAATTACATATTATTATCTAGTTATCTAGTAGCAAGAAAACTACTAGAAAATTATTGATCGATACGTTATCATTAACCATTATGTTTCATATGAAATTCCTCTTATTTAAAAGACAAATTACACGGATAACGTCTGTAAATATTCAGGTGCTTTCGAATCAGTGTAACAACGTTTACATATCATTTTATTGTCTTATCGTTCTATTGTACATACGCAAAATATTATTCATAAGACGAAAAGTTTCTTGATACTATGTTAACAATTGACACCTGAGAAAGTTATCCACATAACTTGGATCAGCGTAGTATTAACGTTATGTTGGCCACTTCCTGTCAATAGTGGTAAAATTCAAGTGTTTATGTTCAAAGTTCTGCAAATAATTAGCATTATTAATGTTTTTATATTGCTTCTGCCGTTGTTATATTCGATCTATTTGCATTTTGATGATGTAATTATTGTCTCTAAATGTGTTGCTCTGTCAATTGGCTTGACTCAAGTAATCATTCAGACTGTCATATGCTTCGCTAAATACGATTCCCTGCAAGTAAGTTTCCAAACATTTTATCTTATTTACCGCATTTTATGTAAAAAATTAAATATTTTTATGTTAGAACCATTGATTACTTTTATTGTTCTTATATATAATTCTGGCAAAAAAATCACACGAAATCATTTGAAAGCATTTAAACAGTTCTTTTGTGAACAGCCGAATTCTCGAGAGCAAATAAATAATTTTTTTCTCTATTTAAAAATAATTTTTCCAAAATCTCAAAAATTTTAATTTTAATGAAACGTTGTGTATATATTATATGTATGATATATGTATAATATATATATATATATATATATGTAATAAAATATATAATGTAAATATATACATATAATTTATAATGTATAATGCTATTTGATATTTAATATGTATATATAATGCGATGATTTTTTTCGGCAAGTATTTTTTCTTTAATTGATCTTTCTATAAGTAAAGTTCATACATATTCTCACATTTCAAATGCAATTTGTATTGTGAATTTTATAAGTTCGAATAAAAATTATTTAAAATACGCAATATTGATTGAATTAGCGTGAAATACGTAATAATTCATCATTATATAATATTTATGTAGTAGTTTTTTATAATAATGTCCCTTAAAATGAATTCATCAAAATCAAAATAACACGAATTTTCATATAGAATGACATATCTAAAATTCTAATTCTAATTTTTAATTACAGCGGGTAATCGAAGAAATGATAATTTGTATCAAAGCAGCACAACAATACGAAGAAAAAATTTTCCACAAATATATCGAAAAATGCTACACATTTTATGCATGTTCTATAATATGCATGTATTTAACTGCAACTGCTTTCATAATAGGATCTGCATTCTCGCCGGCCTCCTTCCCAATAGATGCAGAATATCCCTTTCAAATTAATCGCATGCCAGTAAAGATTATCATATACTTGCAACAGACTTTGGTCGGATTTCAATGCGCTGCACATGTATGTTTGAGCATATTTGGCGCGCTTTTGTTTTGGTTCACAGCTACAAGATTTGAATGTTTGGCCGTGAAATTGCAAAAAATTACCAATATTGGTATGCTGATAACTTGCGTTAAAAAACAATTACGTATAAGGAGGTATAAATCGTGGATTAAATTATATATTTATGTAGAATGTTCGGGAGTAGGTAAAAAGTTTAAATTATGATTCAAGAAACCAAAATAAGATGAAAATGGAAAATAATAAAATTTAAGATTTTTAATTTGTTTGTTTGAAAATCATTTTCTGCTGAACTGTTTTTTATATTTCGTTTAAATAGAGAAAATTGTTCACATTAATTTTTAATTGTTAACAATTAAAGAACGAAATCTTTAAAATTTTTTTATATTTCATTTTCATTTTATTTTAGTTTTTAGAACTATATTAAATTTTCTAACTACATTGTCTGAACACATTATAATTTTATTGAAATTAGTTCTCCCTTCCTTTTTTCTTTAGATATGCAAAAAAAGTTATAATTAGTTTTCGTTTTATAATACTTTATGCCATAGTAGTGAGTACATTTGTCTTGATTCTAGATGGTATTATAATGATAATGATAAGTAAAACTTTCAATATTTTTGTACATACATGATAACATATAATTTAATTATTTTCATTCATGAACAGAAGGCATCGTTAATGATGAAAATACAATTCATAACTTTGAGTTTGACAGTGCTCACAGAAATCTACATATACGCATGGCCTGCTGATTATATGAAAGATATGGTGAATTATTGCATATATTTATCAATATATGTAACATATATATGTGCTTTTTTGAAGTACACTGAATTGTTTATATTTCTTAGAGTATAAATGTCTCAAAAAGTGTATACAATATAACATGGTATAAGCAGACATTGAGAATGCAAAAGAATCTATTAAATGTATTGGTATATCAGCGGCCAATAATCTTTTCTGTTAATTGTATATTGCCAGAACTTTCATTACGTTATTATTGCTCGGTAAGACAAATTAAAATACCAATTATGACATATAAATAAGAACACAAAAGTGATAAAATAATAATATTTTAGTATCTATCCAATGCTTTCTCTATCTTCACAGCTATACGTGTCATAATAGAAGATGATTCATGATAAATTTAATATTGTTCTATTATATAATTAAGTTAAGATATTGATGTTAAGATATTTCATCAATTAAATTTTTATACGAAGTGATGTATTTAAATATTTAATAATTAATAATTGTTGTTTCATTGTTAAATAAATATTCGACTCGAATTGCATATCTATAATCAATCTATTCTTTCTATATCAAACGACGATTCAAGAATTTGATTTGGTTCTCATTGATTATTAGTCAATATTATTATATTTAAATTATTATATTTCATCATTAATGAATAAAAATTTATTATATCAATGAAAATAATTACTTTTAAGCGATTATTGAATTTTAAATAATATTATGGAGAAGAATTTTTATAGGAAACTATGAATAGCAACAAGAATTTTGCTGTTGTGCTTCGTTCTCATTTATTTCCTATTTCTCTAAATATTATATTCGAAATATAATTTTTCGTTATTCTTTCAAACAAATTAAAAAATAGTAGTTATTATGTTTATTTCATATTATGAATTTTGTCGTGATTTCTATGTATTATATCTTCAATTCACGAAATCAACAATTTTATGATTATTCTTTTTTATTGCACATTTTTTCATCCCTTACATTACATACGACACTCACAATTCATATTTTCAAACTAGAAAAAATTTTTTTCACCATTTTGTTTTGCATACTATACCATCTTNNAAATATCGTAGGAGTAAGTTCTTATAATAACCAATTTAATATGTAGATAACTCCATTCTTATGTTGTTGCTTAATAACTTATTTATTTTTCAAGTAGCAAATCTATGTTTGTATAATAATACATATTATCCTTTAGTTATCCGGTAGAAAAATAATTATTTCGGATTATTTATTAAAAAAATCGGTAAACATTACATTACTTTTTATTCTTACGCTTACATATGATTATTATTAAATTTTTACTTAAAAACCAATTTTATATGTCAGAAAATATTCAATTGCTTTCAAATCAATGTAATAACTTAACTAAACGACAATCTTCGTTCTACTGTATCAATTAAATATTGTTCGTAAAACGAAGAGTTTCTTGTCATTATGTTAAAACAAATAATATCGGAAAAAACTATTCACATTAGTTGACTCAGTGTAACTATAACATTTTACTGGCCAGTTCTTCTCAACAATAGCAAAACTCAAGTGTTTATTTTCAAAGTTTTACAGATAATTAGTATTATTAATGTTTCTATGTTGCTTCTGCCATTGT